TAGGCTGCTAACAACTTGCAGCACTCACAGCCAGACAATCTCCCTTGATCAATGGTGAGTCACAATGCTACAATAGCCTGGGAGGCAGCCCTTGCGTTCAAACTCCTTGAGAATCCTGCAGTATATAACTGAATTATACTGGGACATAAAACCAGGTCCATCTGCCTCTGGATAGGGCAAGTGTATGGCAGCAATTATGCTTCACTGTGCCTGTTGGACTAAGATTAAGCTTTGCCTGACTTCTTTTGCGCTATTGGCTAAAGTCTCTATATCTTTCTCACAAAGAATGTTTTCTAGTTGGTAGGGATTTTAGAAAGCAAAGTAAATTGTTGGAAAAATACACATACACAAACACACACAAAAGCAGCATTTCAATGTAGCATAAGCACAAAAATGTCTATCATCCAAGCTTTGGGCAGTATCGTCCTGGTGGACGGTGGGGTGGTGCTGGTGGACGGCGGGGTGGTGCTGGTGGACGGTGGGGTGGTGCTGGTGGACGGCGGGGTGGTGCTGGTGGACGGTGGGGTGGTGCTGGTCATGTGTCATCTGAGGTTGCTCTGAGGGACCCTTGTGGAAAGCATTTGCATAGTGAATGTGGGATCACACTAAATGCTTAAGACACAGACAGGTGAGGAATGAAAGGTGAGGTTTGTGTGGGCAGCAGCTCCACGACCCTTCACCACTGCCCTGCTGAACGTGGCCAGAGACACTTGGCATGGGCTCATCCCCCACACCCTGTGATAACTGGCTTTCAAGGCAGACACCGACAAGATTTGAGAGGTGCTCAGAGTCTGGCCGTCACCACCAGCCACCAAGCTCTGTGACGCACCTTGCTGCCCTGCCCCAGTCCAACGCAGGTTCAGCTCTTTCCTTTGGGCATTGGCCTTTGCTGGCATCTCAATTTTGGGTTTTCTGTTCATTGACTTTTTTGCGTTTCGGCCCCCTGAGGTCACAGTTTCATCTCTAGAGTGGCTTCTCTCTTGGGCTCTGGAGCCCAGAGGGAAGAGCTCCTCCCCCCGTTGCCGTGTCGGAGTACCCATCCTCTGTGGCTCTCCAGCCTGGTGTCTGCAGCACTCTGTACTTGCAGAACTACTCCTGCTGCCTGGAACAGTCTCCAGGTGTCTCCATGCCTCACTCCTTTATCTCTTTCAGTCTGTTCCAAAGTCACCTTCCCTGACTGTTTGATTTAAAACTGCACACTCCACCCCTCCTCCTCCTCTGCTTCATTTATCACCTCCTGACACCCAGTGTGTGTTCCTTATTTTCTGTCTCCACCCATAGAATGTACAATACATGGAGGTAGGTTTTTGTTGGTTTTGTCTGCATAAGGTAGTGATTGGCATGTTGTAGGCACTGGATAAATATTTGCAGAATGAATGAATGAGTGTCATATTGCCATCAATGTCCTGAATATCCTGGCCTGATAACACAGTGACCAGCCAGCCCAGGGTCCAAATCATCCAGCCTGTCATGGATCCGAGATAGGACCAGCCCATCTGTCAGCTTCCAATGCTTCCCCAGCGTTCACTTCTAAGAGGTAAAAACCCAAGAACCTGTGCTCCCTCCAGCCAGAGGAGAGGAGGGCAGGGAGTGGGAGGAGGACACTGTGTTCTGGGCAGATGGAAAGTACGTTGAGCATTTGGGTAGGAAGCATGGGAGGAGGGCAGGAGGACCTGGTCAGAGCCGACTTTGGCCTTACCCCTCACCTTCCGCCTTGAAATGGAAAATCACTGTGGGGTGGAGGGAAAGTAAGTAGACGTGGCCTGTGCTGGCCAATGGAAGGAGAGCTGTGGAAGGGAGGCTGGGAGGAGGAGAAAGAGGACCTCAGATGCCCCGCCCAGCTTGGCTCACCTGTGCAACCTACTCATACGTGTGTGAGCGAGGATCCAGGTGTGTGAGAAATCACGGGCTGGGGGTGCAGGTGTGAGGGGCTGAAGCTGTGTGTGTGGAGTCTGCCTGTGAGTGTGTTTCCTGAGGACGGAGGACAATGGGTGCAGAGAGGTGTGCATTCCCTTGTGAAGGCATCTGTGTTTGTACATGGCTCCGCAGAGAACAATACGTCCCATTCCTGCCCCGACAGCTGAAGGAGGCCTTTGAGAGTTTGGCAAAAGGCCCAAGGAGCGGTGGAACAAGAAAAGGGCTGGACGATGGGACCCCAGGGAGGGGCCAGCCGTGGGCCTGGGATTAAGTCTGCAGAAGAACAGACTGAAACGGCCAATTAGTAACTGTCTCCTTGCAAACAAAGGGGTTTCAGTGCCAGCAGCCGGGGAGGCAGATTAGAGGAAAACGTACTGAAGTTGCATCTGGAGAAATTCAGGTTAGACAAGGACAAATGATCCTCTGGACTCTGAGGGCTCTGAGCCCCCGGAAGCTCCACGGCTCAGGAGGAGGGGCTTCTATAATGGGACAAATCACATGTTCTCACGGAGGAGGAAAACTGGCTTCTGCCTGGGAACGCTGTTACACACACCCAGGTTCCCATTCGCAGATTCACTGTTTTGCTCAACAGCGGCTGGAGTTCACTCTGCTGGGCCTTGTGGGGTCACAGGTTATTGGTGCACGCTCTTCTTGCTCATGTGGGGGAGAGGACAGCCGGATAAGAGCCACGGTAATACAGGAAGCTCGTGTGCCTTTGGAAAAAGGCACAGGGAGCTGCGTGGGGGGAATCGGTGCCCACCTCTCAAGGCCCTGGATGGATTCCTGAATGGTGACTGGTAGGGGGACGTCATGTGGAACTGAGGCTCCGTGTCTCCGGGGTCACTTCCCCTGATGCACCCATGGGGGTGGGGGAGCCTGCTGGGGGGCTCCTCTGGAAGCCTGATAATCACTGGTTCTCTGGTCAGAGGTCAAGTACCAGTGGCAGGTAAGGGACTGTTCCTTTCCCTCGTGGGGTGGAGTGGGTCGAGAGGCCTGAGTCAGGGTGAGAACCAGAGATGGGGGCAGGGGCAGATGCACAACACTGGGCCTGAGGAGGACAGCAGGGGTTGTACCAACGCCTCCCAGAACTGGGGCTGTCACACCATTTCACCCCACTGTTGGCAGGACCTGAACCTTGAATTGGGTTTTTGTCAGATCCATGCCTCCATG